GATATTGCCAGTGCCCCAACTGGCACAGAAAGGTGCTTTCAAATAATCGAACTTCTAGAAGGTACTCCGTTTTGGAATTCCTCAGAAATGGTAAGACATTTCTCCTTCTCCCAACGCTGCCTCCCATCCCAGAGCCTAACTCAGAAATCCCCAGGCCAGTGGCTCAGGCCTCTGAGGTGACGCAGCTGCAAAGATCCCTTCCTTGCCTAGTGGGACTTTTCTCTTGTTACCACCTATAAATATTGTTTACTCTGCTAACACCCTAAACCCAGACAGATCAAAATAACTAAGGTTCAAAATGTCAAAGGTTATTTTTAAAATGGTGTTTTAATGGGGGGACTATGGACCCCCTCAAGGTCGACCAGACTGGGTAATCCTGAAGAAACCAGCACACTGAATTCCCGCAGAAAGTGTCAGCTAACGCACCTCTAACAGACCAGTACCGTCTGCTACCTGTGCCGCTCAATCTCTTTCAAAGTGACTAGCCACGCCTCTTTCCTGCAGGTGTGTCTATTTTTACAGAACATACTGAGCTCAGAAACAGCCTTCAGACACACGGTGTAGGTCAGGTCTATCAGCATAGGTGGTCTTCTTCCTGGGGTGACGGCTCCCATTGGGCCTCCATGTAACAAAGGCCAGTGGTCCCCTCTTGCTATTCAAGAACAGAGCAGTCTTGATCCATAAAGACTAACCTTTGCCACTACCTCATACATGGCAACACACTGGACCCCATGCCACATAGGATGCCAAGTGTAAAGGCACCTGTCTAAGTGACTGTACACAACAGATGCTCAAACAAGGCCGGTGTTCACTCTCTTCCACCAAAGCCATTGTTTTCTCTTGTATCTTCACTCTTGGGTCTTTTCCTTACACAAGGATATGCTTATCGGTTTTAGAGAGAAGGCAAGGGAGGGAGGGAGAGAGGGAGAGAAACACCGATCAGTTGCTTGTTTCTCATATGCGCCCTGACTGGGGATCGAACTTGCAACCTAGGCATGTGCCCTGACCGGGAATCAAACCTGCAACCTTCCAGTCTATAGGATGACACTCCAACCAACTGAGCCTCCCTGTCCAGGGCCACTCTTGAGTCTGTTTTGGTAAGAAAAAATAAAAAGAAAGAGATAAATGGGAGCAGAGTGAGCCAATGGAAGATGGAGAGAGGGGAGAGGAGAGAGAAATGAAAGGAGAATGTAGAGGGGAAGTGGGGGAAGGGGCTCGGGGAACTTCACAGGTTTGCTATTCCCAAAAACATGTTCATTCCGCTAACACGCAGAGCGAGGAAAACATTTTCATTTTCTTTTCTGTCAGCTGGAGCAAAATGATTGCTGCAATAATATCAGAAGTTATTGGTCACTGTGAGCACCCTTGCTAGTAAGGAGCCAACACGCCAGCCAATGTAAAATATTGGCCTCAAGGTGCTCTCGGTATTTTGTTTTTCAAATGCAGGGGAAAAAAAAAATCCCTGGAATTTTCCTGTTATTTGGGGGAATTCCTGAAATCCATATGATGACTTTCGGCCCAAAAGTGATGTATGCCGTCTGGTGGGCAGCGTCTTGGCCTGACCCCAAGTTTGGGATGTGTCTCCCTGAACCTTAAGTCCTCTACAGCAGATGCCAGCTCCAGAACTGAGGGTTTCGCCCAAAGCAGGCCAGGAACGAGAACAGTGTCTGAGCCCAAACCCAAAACAAATCTTCACTCTGAACTGTCACTGCTACAAATGTTTCGGGAAGCTAGTCCAAATCCAAGGCGAGCTCCAGCTCGGTGGACCCCTGATTATGAAAGTTCATGACATCTACCTTCATTCTCATCAAGGCCCGTCTGAAGAGAACCTGGAAGCCCCAGGAAGAAAAGGGGTCAAGGCTCGTATTTTATGAGCTTTTAAATAACGGGTTCTCGAGTACCTAAAATGGCACAAATACTTTAACTTGATCGCCTGCTTATGAAAAAAGTAGCATTATAAATTTAAAAAAAGGGTAAGGCAAATATTTTGTCCATATGGATTTTTTTTTAAGGTAACTTCCACATCAAATGAAGCCTACAGAGATTCTTCACGTTAAGTCAAAAAGTTACAGGCAAACACCTGAGACTGACTTGCAGGTACCAACCCTGAAGGTGAGGTAGCATCTCTACTGCCTGTATCATGGCAGCAGAATCACAGAGCTCAGCCCCTTTTACATTTTATTCCATAACATCACTAAGGAAGTCCTCATGAAAAAAAAAAATCCCTGGAATTTTCCTGTTATTTGGGGGAATTCCTGAAATCCATATGATGATAATAAAAATGGGGAGGGACATCAGATGCTGGGAAAAAATTCAAGCATCCTAGCTCCTTCCTCTGGGTGCCACTTTGGTAACCAGACACTCACAGTTCCCCATCCCTCACAGGAATATTCTTAAGAGTCAGTCATTCACAGCCTACCGGGATAAAATGGAAACAGCATTTACATATCTTTAGTGTGTACATAAATCATCAGAATCCTGGCAGTTAACAAGAGGTTGTTTTTGGGGGGTGGGGGCAGGGAGTGGTTCAGTTCAGAAGCCACTTGCAAGAACGGTTTCAACAGTAAAGCCGAGGGGGGGAAATTGGCATGAATCAATAAAACAGCAATTTCTCTGTCCATCCTCTCTGCTGTTACTGGGCAGTGTATTGTGGGACTGAAGTCCTTTTCTAAACCTTCGATGGATTTCATGATTAATAAGCATTTGTAACATAGTGCTTATTCCTTCATTCAGAGACCCCTCTCCAAGTTAAAATTTGGCCTCTACTGAGAAGATAGTAAATGTAAAGACCAGATGAGATAGAGAAAAAAAAAGAGACAAAAATGGTCTCAAGAAATCCATGATCTTATATTATACGTGCACACAGACATGGGCCATTTGACTTGGTCACTAGCAAATGATAACCAAGGACACTGTGTTTCTTTATATAAATTACCTGGTATTTATTGATACTGAACTAAGATATTTTTCCCAATAACTGTTTATCAGGGAAACCTTCCTAAAAATAAATTACATATGGCATTAACCCTAAACAAATAGCTAATAAAAGGAGCTCACAATATACAGCCCAAGCAGGTCTCAGCTTAACCAGCAAAATAATAACACTTAAAAGAATGAGGTGTGGTATCCTCTCCCTGAAGCCATCATAGTCTATTAATTTACAAGTAGCACTAATGCTATACAATTTCTACAGTAAATTAAAAATTAGTAACATGAAGCTCAGATACACGAAATAACCCAATAACTATTTCTAAAATTCGTAGCCTCATTTTTAATTTATTTTCATGATAAGTGACTAAATAAGACAATGGATTGATGTCATATTATGTCTATTTCTAATCAAGGGTAACTTAATGTCTAATCAATTCAGCCCCAATCTTTTATAGGAAACAGAGAGAAAATGTAGTGATTGGCTTCGCTAGCCACTGTCATTTTACATCCAAAAGTCCAATTCTCTACATGGCACACACCTATAAGACAGAATTAATAATTCCCATATCTTGCATATAACAAAATAGACTCATACCAAACAATAAAAACCTTATACATCATTTTAAAACACAAAACTGCCCCCAAATAGTTCTCAGAACCAATTCTATATAGAATGGGCAAAAAAAAAAACAGTTATTTTCATCACTATAGAAATACAATAGCAATAATTTAGGATCAAGTTGATTATTTTCTTGCTTTATCCAGATGGGTTGCTTTAGGCTAAATAGGCAACTAAGCTCTACTTTTTCCTCCCTATCATACTATGTTGTTCCAGATACACAAAACTGTATTTACAGGTACAAAATATAGGACTGTCCATAAGGCTAGAGGAAAAAAAACAGCTAGCATTGGGTCACTATGCCCATGCATCCACACGCTAGCAATAACAATACTCCCTCAAACGCATATTCATCATCACCTTTGACTGACCCTGGGCTACATGAAGGAAAGTTTTGATTTCGTATAGGTCCAGGAAGCACATAGCTTTTCCTCTTTATTCATAACCAGTCCTGATCCTATAGCTGAAAGATGAATGCAAACTCATCCTGACTTTTCAATGAGCTCCTGCTAATCGAAGTCTTTAAAATTTTCTTGGTTTCAAGGTACGATTTCCTCTTAACCATTGCTAATGCTAACTAAAAAAATCTTTCCCAATAAGCACTACAGATAATATGCTAAAGAAAAAAAAATAATCCCAGCATAAAATGCATTAGAAATGACTGGTATAAAAGTTAAATAAAAAATACTGACTCCTTAATTTCAGTAATATTGTTGATTAGCACCAGAGTGAAGTTACATAAGCAGTTACTCTGAAACATGCACACTATTCAAATACATCTTTATTATAGTAGCTCAATACCTATACGTTGGTTGCTGATAGCATTGTTATCAAATGCATAAAGCCATCAGATCATTTTGTGGTAAAAAAACAAAAACAAAACCACAGTCTCTGGAATGTAAACATTTACTTACTGGTCATAGGGCACTATAACATAAATACCCATAAAAATCATAAAATTGTAAAAATAACACAAAGTACAAAATAATTTAGGCTAAAACAAAGAAAAACTACAACCGGAGTTGTTCAGATAGGAGTAAAACCATTAAACCATCCGTACATTCACGGACACATTCACACTCACCACAGAACTGCAAAGTGGTCCATTTCATTTCTAATGTTAAACATTTACATTACCACAATAATCCAAATGCGTAGGGACAGGATAAGGAAATGCTTCTAAAAGTTATTAAGGATGCTATAAAATCATGTGTGGGATGTTCAAATTTTCTGTTATTGCTGACTGCAGATTAAACTCTGCAAAAGCAGCCAGAAAGAGTGTGAGGACACTCTTTCTCTAGTATCTCTACACACTTGAGACTATCGGATCACCCTCAAGTGCAGTCACTAGTGATTTGGAAATCCATAAGGCCAGAAAGTTGACATCTGAGGAAAAATTTCAAGGAAGCCAGAAGTTCCCCCTTTTCCAAGAAAGCAAAGACATTCTTACCTTTCTGTACACCAGCATGTTGGGTGATTCATCCGCCACCCCGTTGCTGGTCTGCCCGTAGCTATTCCCTTGGGCCATGTCACCCACACGCGGCTCGCTGTGGGACACAGGAATTCTCGGTCTGCGCTGCAAACGGTTAGAGGGACTTCAGTGAGATCCCAGTGGTAATGCTCAAGGGGGCTGACGCTCTCGATTCACCTCCACCATGCACAGCACCTACCTCCCGCCCCCTCCCGGGGAGAATGCTTATAGGCTGGGGCTGGCTGGAGGAAGTGGCACAAGCAGAGTTGTTTGGGGTTTGTTTGTTTGTTTTTTAACTGAATTTATACATATGGTAATCCCAGGGAACAGTAAGAAACGACCGTCTTTTAGTTCAAGTAGTCATTTGGCTATGGCTTTAAACTGAATTGATTTTTCTGGGTACTTATTTTAAAAAAGGTTTGGCGCTCACCTGAAAAAAAGAAAAAATCCCCACGGTCACTATTTCCATACTACAGAGAGTTTTTCTCTCCCAATACCTGCAAGTCCGCTCAATGTTTTCCCCAAAGGGCGGAAAGGCACGCCCGGCTCTGCACACTTTGTCCCAGGTGTGTCTAGTTCCCCCACCTGCAGGCGCGTGGCGATGCCCTTCCGCGGCACAGGTGTTTCCTCTTCGTCCCCCGCGCCTCCCACCCACAGTCCGGGTAGCCTCTGCTACTTTCACCTGCCTGCGCTGCCAGCCACTGGTCCCTCTCCTCTCACCTCGCTGTGCTTCGGGAGTCAGGACGTAATCGTGCCCAATCTTTGCAAGAAGGCATCAGGATCTACCCCGGCGGCAAGAACGGGTGGGAGTTCAACCCCACCTGACGGCAATTAGCGCGCTCACCACGGGAAGCAACCTAACTGAGAAGCCTCGGAGCCACCAGCCGACAGGAGACAACAAGCAAGCGGCAGTTCCCCGGCTCGGCTCTCACGGCAGCACAAATGGCAGGCGAGCCTGTGCCCCGCGCCAGCCGCGGCCGCAGGAACCGGGCGGCAGTTTCAGCACCAGGGACCGCGGCGAGCGCGGGGCTCCCGGGGGCGGCCGCGCGGCGCAGGGCGAGGGGTGGGTGCGGGGCGGGGGCCTGAAGAGCTGGGGTGGCGCCGCCTCCTCCCCTCCCAGCTCCCCTATTTACCTCCTCGGCCAAGGTCACGGCCCCGCCGCTTCTCCCTCCCCGGGCAGGCTCGAGTGCAGGCGGTGTCAGCTGGCGGCAAGCAGAGCAGCGAAGCAGGGCAGCTTCATCACACTCGGCGGATGCGGAATCCGCGCCGTCCCGGCTCCCGCCGCTTAGGCGACCGCCACCCTCGCCGCCGCCGTGCACAGGCGGTCCTGCAGCCCGCCGCTCGCGTCCGCTCCCCGCGGCCGCCCGGCTGACTGCCTCCCTCCTCCGCTCCTCCGCCTGGGCGCTGGGACCAGCCGAGCGCGCGCGGGAGCCGAGACGCCCGGCCCGTGCGCGCGACTGGGAGGCGGGGGAGGGGTGATCACGTGGGCCGCGGGCGTCGGAAGGTGCGGGCTCCTAGGGGCTCTGCGCGGCGTGGCCACCCGGGCCTCCCAGGCCTCCCCGCCCCTTGTCCCCCGGGGAGATCAGCCCGCGTTCTCGTACACTCCGCCCGCCCCGATGCGCGCGCCGCTGAAGGCCTGATGATCCGAGCTTAACGCCCAGTGGCAGCCGGAAGGGAGGAAAGGTGGGTGGATGGATGGATGGATGATGGAGCCCCGTGCAGCCCCTTGGCTTCATTCACGTGCCTGGTGACTCCGCTGACAGTATGGGGGGAGCAGTTCACCTATTATCCGTATACTTTTAAATAACCAGAGTGGACAGACAGTAACACATCCTAGGAGTGGAAGAAATGGCCAGGACCAAATGAGCCGTTCAGCTCATTTGCCTGCGGCTTTCACAGTTAACTCCCAAGTTAGAGAAATGGGAACCGATTCGGAGGCTGCCAGCTTGAGGTGAAAATCTTGCCACCTGTGAACCTGAAGGACCACCCACGTGCTTGGTTTCTCCCTTTGACAGAAGGAGCTCAGGAATGTCCTCGCACCCACTACTTTGATCCACTAGCAGTTTTGAAAAAGGACCTGGGGAGCTGATCCCCCCGAATTATTCTCCAGGTTGCTGTCACTAATTCTTCCTTAGGCATTAGAATGACATGAAGGAGAAACATCCCTTTTGCCCCGATTATAGTAAAGAGGCTTGTGTCTGGCTTTCAGAGTTCCTTCCTCAGAGCTGGGGCCACGAGAGAGACAGAAGTTAATCAATGATCTGGGTCTAACAGAAGAGAACTCACCTGTGGGCAGGACCTCTCTTCCCACCAAACATGCGAGCCTTGGACCGAGCATTTTCCCAGCCCCTCCCAGGCCTTGCCAGGGTTCACTCAAGGAACAAATATTTGTCCCACCTATCTTCTGTTGTAAATACCACAGCGAAAAGATTACTGTCCCAAACTACTGGACGTGCACCCTACGCTGACCCATCCCCCTCCCTCTATTCCACAGTTCCCCAAATGTTTTCAGTGAGTGGGCTCTCTGGAAATGTTGATCTTTTTCAGGAAAATAGCGTTTTTTTCCCATCTTCTCTGAATATTTCCTTAACATTCGTGCTTGAACTGAAACCTACCAATTCCCCTTCAGGCCCTCTCTTCCCCTTTGCTCAGTCTACTCCTCGGACGTTGATGCGAATTGGATTAAGAAATTTGGAAAGAACAACTGGGCATGCTCACTCAGTGTGATTATTTCCTCTTAAAGAGAAATGGTGAAAGGAAGCAGGCTTTCTTCTTTGCATTTCTCGATTAAGGTTCTATCCCATAGGGGGCCTATCCCAGCTCAGCACTAAGAGATCATTCCCATCAATAAGAAAAAAAGAAGAAGGAGAAGAAGAAGGAGGAGGAGGAGGAGGAGGAGGAGGAGGAGGAGGAGGAGGAGGAGGAGGAGGAGAAGAAGAAGAAGAAGAAGAAGAAGAAGAAGAAGAAGAAGAAGAAGAAGAAGAAGAAGAAGAAGAAGAAGAAGGAGGAGGAGGAGGAAGAAGAAGAAGAAGAAGAAGAAGAAGAAGAAGAAGAAGAAGAAGAAACCAACTTTATGTATTTTTATGCATGGCATATAAAGAAATGCCCTGCTACATGAGGCCCCATCCACCCAGCATATACATATGATGTTATATCTATGTATAGATATATATAATTTCACTTACTTATGGACTTTAAAGAACAATACAAACAAATAAGCAATACAGAAACAGAATCAAAGATACAGAGAACAGACTGATGGTTGCCAGAGGGGAGGGGCTTTGGGAAACTGGGTGAAAAAGGTGAAGGGATTGAGAAGTACACATTGGTAGTTACAGAATAGTCACAGGGATGTATAGAATAGGAGGAGAATATGTCAATAATATTGTGATTGCAATGCATGGTGCCAGGTGGATGCTGGAGGTAGGGCGGGGGAGGGGGGAACACTTTGTAAAGTATGTAATTGTGTAACCGCTACGCTGTGCATGTAAAACTAATACTAAACAATATTGAATATAAACCATGATTGAAAAATAAAATTTAAAAAATCCTCTAAAGACACCATGTCACTCAAAGTAAAAAAGATGCCTTTGAAACACCGCTGAGGCCCTCATCACCAGGCACTGCGTTGCCTCTTCTGCGCCGCTCTCCTTCTGTGCTCTGTTCCAGCCACGCTGCTCTCCTTATTTCTTTAAACACCCCATTCATGCTGCGACCACAGGGCATTTGCGCTGGCGGCTCCCCCCGCCACGATGCTCTTCCCTCAGATGTCATTTCCTTTCTTCAAATTTTCACTCAAATGACCCCCTCTCCATGTGGCCTTCTCTATACCTTGTTTAAAATGATGTAACCCTCCCCTCACTCTCATCCCGTTCCCTTTCTCTGATTTATCTGCTCATCTGAGCATTTATTGCCTTCTAACAAACCGAACGACGTCCTTATTGACTATGCATATTGTCTGTGTCCTCTAGGAGAAATTAAGTTCTGGAAGTTCAGGGGTGTTTTCCCCTCTGTTCACTGCTGTATCCCCAGGGTCTAAAACAGAATTTGAGATATAGTTGGAACCCCATAATTGTTTGCTGATTTCTTGAGCAAATAAATCCATGAACATGACTCTGTTTGAAAAACTGGGTGAAGTAGAATAATGCAGTCAACAACTTTGAACGAAACTGAATTAGCATCAAGTTTCACTGTGGATGAAAATGATCTACTTTTCAAATCTGCTTCCTATGTGTCATAAAGGGGAAGAATAATTTCTTTTCCCACCACACGCCCACTCCGCAGAGGAATGCTTTGAGAATTAATTAAATGGTAACATGGAGAAAGCATTTTGAATTTCAAAGAGAACGCATTTTATTAATTTGAGGCTTGTATTGTGTAAAAGAATTGTAAGTGATACAGGGACAAGTACAAAGATGAGAACAATGTTAAAGGAATTGCACTGTTCACAATACTACATTGGTATTTTATGACATAAATGATTTGAGATTGATACAAGCACAGTGAAAAAGGAACATGCAAAGTGGTTTGAAAATTCTTACCCCAAGTTGACAGATTTTTAAGACATACTCAATTCTCACCCTGGCTGGTGTGGCTCAGTGGATTGAGTGCCGGCCTGCAAACCGAAGGGTCACCGGTTTGATTCCCAGTCAGGGCGCATGCCTGAGTTGCAGGCCAGGTCCCCAGTAGGGGGTGCATGAAAGGCAACCACACATTGAGGTTTCTCTCCCTCTCTTTCTCCCTCCCTTCCCCTCTCTCTAAAAATAACTAAATAAAATCTTTAAAAAAAATACTCAATTCTCAATTATTTCTAGTGCAATAGCCTCCTCATTAATGAATTATTTGCCACTTTTACCATCCCTTTGTCCATTATGACCATTTTCCTGCTAATTAGAATTCCCATATCAATGTCAGAGGGCCACCAAAAAAAAAAATGGAAAAAAGAAAATTCTCATCAGGAATTTATTCCTCTCTTCTTCCCGTGGAAATGTTTAAATTCTGGTCTAAATTATTCCCAAGCTGACACAATTTTTAAATGGCATACATTTTTCAATTACCTGGAGAACTGGTTGAGCAGACTGGGAATGAGATGCTATAGAATGGTGGGAAGATACAGAAAGGGTTGGGACTGTCCCTCTCCTTTGGGCGCAGTGGGGCAGGAGGAAAGCACTAGAGCATCTGAGGTGTAGCCCTGACTCCACTGCCCAAAATCTAGGTCACGTCGTGGGGTGACTTGGCCATTCTAAGCCTCAATCTCCTTACTATAAAACAAAACTCACATTTCCTGCTCCATGTTGCGCTGCTGTGCCCCTCTTTTTATTTAAGGCAAGTGAAGTACTTGGAAAGACAGTCTAGTAGCAACATATTGACCGTATCAGGAGTAGCAGTATTCCTGCTGGTCCTGTCCCAGCAACCGCTATAGCAATAGCAATAAAAACAGTCCATCCATACAAAAAAGTCAAGTGAAATAAGGTCTGAAAATTCCCTTTGGATTCGTTGGAGACTTTGGTGAGAGAAGTTTCGGTGGAGTTCATGGAGCTGAAGACTACACTGCAGTGGAAAGAATAGGAGGTGACTGAAATGGAAGGGAAACAAAGGGAAAGGGAGTTGAATAAGTGTAGATACCTCAAGAAGTTTAGCTCTGAAGAGGAGGGGAGAAATGTAGCTGTAGCTGAAAGAGGAATTAAAATAAATTGAAGGTTTTCTTTCTTTTAAAAAAAAACAACAACAAAAAACAGTCCATCCAATAGGTAGTGTGTGGTGTCTAGAATATAGTGAACACCACATAACAGAATCGAAAGGGCACAACAAGAGCGGAAGGTAGTGCCCATGCAGGAGGACTAAGCCTGGCATGGACAGGTCATATCTGGACCTTTCAGCAGGTGGCAGAACTGACATTAGGGTGGATGGGGACAGAGTCCTAGCAGCTGGCAGGCGTCAATGTGGTCATGACCGCAGAAGGTGGGAAAACACAGAGCAACTCATGTGTTTCCTATGTGTCATAAAGGGGAAGAATAATCTCTTTTCCCACCACATGGCCATGTTGATAATTTCTTACTTGGTTTCCAAACTCTTAGCCATGAACAGCCTTCGAACTGGAAATGAGAGAAGACATGATTAGAAGAATCACATAATAACAATGGAAGGAATAACCCTCAAAATAACAAATGAAGAAACTGCACTTCAATGAAATAAACTCATTTTCTCAAGTTCACACAG